TTTATGTCACTAATGTCTTTACAATTTGCCTGTTTGAAGCATGCATCGGCACTTCATTCTGTTATGAGTGAGTAATATTCCTTTTGTATAGAAATACCACAGCTTACTTATTAATTCATCTGTTGAAAGACACTTTTAAGGTATAACTATGACAGTCATTATGCACCAAACATCTATGGTTCCCCGACAAGGTGAAACCTCAGAACCCAGCTTAGTACCACAGCCTTGATTTGTGTTCCTCATTGTGTGTCTTCATTTCCCACCTGGTTCTTCATTAAGGCAATCCCAAACAAGATATGACTAGGATGTGAAAACACATGTGTTATAGTTTCATTCTGTTGCTGTAATAAACACCCTGGCCAAAAGCAAAATCAAGAAGGAAAGGGCTTGTTTCACCTTACAGGTTACAGTGGGTTTAGGGTTAGGGGGTAGGGGTTAGGGTTAGGGTTGGGGTTAGGGGTTAGGGGTTAGGGGTTAGGGGTTAGGGTTAGGGTTAGGGTTAGGGATTGAGGGAGGTGACAGCAGGAGCTGGAAGCTGAGGATGTTGACAAGGACAGGGTGTCTCCCAGATACACAGGGCAGCTGCACACATAAACAAACGCAAGGTGATTGTGATCAATTGCACAAAACCTGTGTAAGCCACAGATAGACCAAATCCCAGCACGGAGAACAGAGCAGCGAGGCACACTGAGCTGTGGAGCAATTGACAATTGTAAACTGCTGGGAAAGGAAGGTTTTGTTTTCCCTGAGAATGTAGCTCCTTGTAAGTCAACTATGATCTGATGGAATACCACCATCCAAGAATGTTTTGGTCAGCACAAATTGGTCTTGAAAGGGATTTTGGTCAGCACAAATTGGTCTTGAAAGAGGTTTTTTTTTTCTCTTTTTTTTTTTTTTTTTTTTTTAACAAAGGGTTGGTAGGGAAGTGAGGGCAGATCTTGGACGAGTTGGGGTGGTGGTGAATATGATCAAAATATGTTTAAAACTTTCAACCAATAAAAAAGAAAGAAACCATGGAGGAGCACTGCTTGCTGGCTCACTCCCAGACTCATGATTGGCTAGCTTTCTTATGCAGCCTAGGACTACCCTGTAGGGGATAGTACCAACCACAGTGATCTGAGCCCTCCTATGATTAACAATCAAAACAATCCCCCACAGACATTCCCACCGGCCAGTCCCATCTGGCCAGTTTCTCAATTGAGAATCACTTCTCGGGTCAAGTTGACAGTTGAAACTAAGCAGAACACAGTGAGTGTCCAAATCTGTTCACATACTTGTTCTCAGGGGTCAGAGGGAAAGAAGTGGTCTCTTGGTTTCTAGAAAGGCAGCAGATAGGGCCTTTGGATGGCAAGGGATGTTATCAGGACAGGTGCAGAGAGATGGCTGCTGCCAGAGAGGTTGGTGATTTGCTTGAGGTTGTCCAGTAAGCTCATGGGGACACACACACACGTGTGCACCTGTGTGTGCGCGAGAGACATGACCAACGAACAGATCTGCTAATCCAAAGCCAACTTTGTCTGGTTCCAGCAGCTGTGTTCTTTATCCTCCTCCTGCCTGTCTGCCCTACAGTGCTCCTCCCAGCAAGACAGTGATTCCCTAATGGCATAGAGGAGAGAGTCTTCTTGGCTCTCCATCCTATTGCAAAGGAAGCCAATGCTGGTTTTTTTTTTTTTTTTTTTTTTTTTTCCACTCCTGTGTATTTCCCATTCCTGGCAAGTGGCTGACTCTCCTTGTTTTCCCTGGATAGAATATAACTTCCAATTACTTTTCAGCAATCATTGATGAACATGCATATGTGTTTATTTTTTTCCAACACTGACAAACTGCCTCTTACACAGTCCTAGAGGTTGAAGATATGGTTTCTTGGTTGAAAATCAGCATAAATGCCTCCGTGGCAAATGCTTTAAAACAAAGCAAAACAAAAAGCTTTATCTGCTGTTTGTGGACTGCTCCTGGGATGTCGGGTAATAAAACTGCATAACTTCCAAACTGTCAGCAGTCAGTTGCTTCATTAAAGACCCCTGAGATGGATGGTAACAGGGGGAAAGTCTATACTAGCAGTGGAGAAAAAGAAGACAACAGTGTTTGGACTGGAGCAGAAAAGCAGAGTTCCAGTTCAGGTTTTTCTTTCTCTAGCTGTGTGACTCTGACTAAAGCACTTGACTTCTCTGAAGCACAGGATGAGGCTTTGGTAGTGATCAAGTCAGATTATGAAAGTTTTCAATAAATGTTAGGGACCGACGAGGTGGCTTGGCTGGTAGGCTGTTTGCTATAAAAGTCTGATGATATGAGGCAAATTCTCTAAGGAGAGAATTGACTCCACACAGTTGTCCTTTGACCTCAGCATGATTGTCCTGGCATCACACACACACACACACACAGAGAGAGAGAGAGAGAGAGAGAGAGTTAAGAAATGTTAGGTTTGCTGTTACTGCTTCTACAAGAAAGACTAATACATGTTCCTATTTTCCTGTGGAGTAGTCTGATATCTGAAAGACAGAACAACTGTTAATAGCATCTTTGCACAACCAAACAGAAGTCAAGGCATTGCCTTACAGACTCCATTCCATGAATAGAAAGGCTAAAGGGAGCTCACTAAAGCACACGTCAGCCTGCATGCTTTAATGTGGTGCTAGGTTCCACCGTGGCAGCATCAGCACAGAACTTAGTCAAGTCCCGCCCTGACCCATCAAATCTGGAAGTCTGCAGGTTGAACACTCTAATCTGTATTTAACAACTGATTTAAGTGGCTGAGGTGTAAGGATGGCTGCTTTAATACATAGCCTTGGGGCTAGAGGTGTCACTTAGCTGGGAAGGTGTTTGCTTAGCATGCAAGAAGCTCTGGGTTTGATCCCTAGTATCTTGCAACCTGGTCATGGTAGCAAATGCCTGTAACCCCAGCCCTTAGGGGGTAGAGGCAGGAGGACCAGAAGTTCAAGGTCATCCTTGGTTACATAGGCCAGCATGGAGTACAAGAGATGCTGCCACAAAATAAACACAAAGGTAACTAAATAAATAAAAGCCCGAAAGTGTGCAACCTCAGTTGGTCCTTAGCACAAAGGTGATGACCTTTATTGTTCCTGAATTATTGTTCAGAAGACAGAGTAGGTTGGGAAAGAAAAGCAGACATTCTTCAAAGTCTCAGGAATTTGCTTGACTAATACAAGCCTCCCTACGCTGCTGCCCACTGTCTTCTAGAAGGATTACGTGTCTAAAACAGTCCTCCTAGCAGCTGACTCAGTAAACTGGCACACACTTCCAGCCTAGCCAGTTGAATGACCACATGGTATCAGGAAGATGTGTCACTAAGCAAACAAACTCGGCAGAGATGCACTGTGCCACAATGAGTCCCTGAAGCCCAAAGTTCCAACTCTGGGGCGGGGAGGGGCGGGCACAGGCATTCCCCAGTGACCTTCAAGTGCGATTTTTTCCTACTTGGCCCTTCACTGTGTTAAACAAACAACTCCGCGGGCCCGGGCCCGAGCTTCCTGCAACCCCACCCGCACCCCCAAGAGTCTGCTCGCAACCCTGCCTGAGGAATTTCAGGGACCTAGGCTGGGCACTCATGCCTCTCAGCCCGCTCCTGAGTCTTGCGCATGCGCATGTGGAAACTTGCATAATCCCATCCTGCTTCAATTAAGGAGCCCTCATAATCTGGTTCCTCCCAGAGCCCGAGATGGACCAAACTCTTCCCACCTTCCATCTGCAGCTACAGAAACCCTCTTCTCCCCAAAAGGCATTTTCCATTTTACATCCTGGGGAATCCAGGGTGTACAGAGACAACAAACAACCTATTCCACACCTACGATATACCTCTGTTGGCAAAACGGGAGAATTCTAAGCCAGAGAGGAAAATTCCCTTACTGATCTCAGGTCTCTGAAGGCCTGACTGGATGGGAAAAGGAACCGTTCAAAATTGAGGTTATATTCAAGCCACCAAGGAGGCTGGCTGATGGACTCCTAGGCTGCCCTCCTTTATTTGGCTTACAATTCACTGGTCACTTTTATGCTGCCAAAGCAGTCGGAAGTGCCGTGTTTCAGAGTGGATGAGACTCCAAAGAGAATAGCAAGGGAGAAGGGACACATGAAACTGGGTAGCAGTTAGTGGCTCTGGTATTTTAGGACACTTGGGCTATCCTCGGCTACTGGAACAGTGAGTTGTAAGGTGAGAGACGGGGACATCACACAGACAGTTAGCCTGCCATGTGATCTGGCAATCAAGAGAGCATTAGTGACCTTTGGAAGGATGGGTTCATTAGAGTGCTGGTCTGGAGCAGAAGGCAATTGACAGGGGCTAAGGAAATGAAGATGCAGGGACCAGACTTGTCCAGAGTGTTTCAGAGGAGAGCGGACTGGGCATGTAGTTTAGATGGTAGAGGGCTTGCACTCAGCCCTGGGTGTGATTTCCAGCAGGACATGACCCAGCTGTGGTAGTGCACATCTGTAATCTCTCTAGGCACCATTCCCTATTTCCCAAGCCCCAGGTATGAGGTAGCAGAGACCAGCAGATTCCTGGAGCCCCAAGCTGGCAAGTCTAACTAATTGATGAGCTCTGGGCTCAGAAGGAGACCCTATCTCAAAAATAAAGTTGAAGTGGGATGGAGAGGTGGCTCAGCAGTTAAAAGCAATGGCTGATCTTCTTGAGGACCCCATTTTGATTCCCAGCACTCCTAAGTGGTCAGCAGCCATCTATAACTACAGTTCCAGGGGTATCTGACACTCTTTTGTCCTCAGATGGTACCAGGCAGACATGTGGTGCACAGACATATAGGGTGGAAAAACAACCACACACATAACATGAAAAAATCAAGTGGGAAGTGATAGAGCAAAGAGCCTTGCATTGACTGTTAACCTCCACACAAAATGCTTGCCCACACACATTATATACATACCATGAGACAGACAGACGGACAGACTGACAGATACACACACACACACACACACACACACACACACACACACACACACTAAGGTGGGGTGCGGGAAGAAATGCTAATTACCTGTTTGTTTCCATCGAAGTCTACAGAGTCCTGGTCTTTCTATGAGGCGTCACTCACTGCTAGCAGAAATCCTCAGGCAGAGCCCCAGGGCCCACTAGGCTAGGCTTGTCGGCTATCTGGGTTCTTAAGCCTGTGAAGGTGGGCAAACCTCCAGCTGCTCAGACAGTGCCTCCAGGGACACCCAAGCAACTTTTCTAAAAGTGACAGTGAGCAGGAGCCATACCGAATGCTTCTGTTTATAGACTCTCTCAGACAAGGCACAAAAAAATAGCAACTTTCACCAAGCATTGGAAGAGTTTTTAACAATCTTGGGCATTTTCTGGTCTAATTGTTTCAATTTGTTCTGGCTTGGGTTTGTTTTGTTTTTGTTGTTGTTGTTTTGCTTTGGGTTTTTTTTTTTTTAGATATTTCTTGATATGTAGCCCAAGCTGATTTGGCACTCACTACGTATCCCAGGCTGGCCCCACACCCAGTTTATTGCACTAATATATCCTTCTTGTGATCTCAGTTGTATTTATCAGAAATAATAATAAAACCATCTGGAGTGAACACTTGGAGCTTTTGCAGGAGTCACACTCTGTGCGTCCAGGCAGGTTAAATGTAGAAACATTCGATGAGGCTCTTTCATTATGTACTTCATGCCTTGCATAGTGGCATGTGCCTTTAATACCAGCATTTGGCATTAAAGCATTGGGAAGCAGGGGCAAGTGGATCTCTGTGAGTTCCAGGCCAGCCACAGCCACATAATGTGATCTGGTCTCTACTACAAAGCATCCAGCAAACTATATTGTATGCAACAAAAGAGGTCAAAGGTTATGGTGGCATACTTTCTTATTTTCTCATGAAATAGTCCTTACTGAGATAAATGATTTTTTTTTTTGAGACAGGATCTTATGTGGTTCAGATTGGCCTCAAACTCACTATTCGTCAGAGGATGGCACTGAATTTCTGATCCTCTTCATGTCTTCATATACTGCAACCTATTTTATCAACCAATACTTATTCTGAGACTGAGAAAATATTCAAAGGAATTATTGTATACAGTAAGCAATATTATCATAAGCTGAGGTTGATTACTCCGTTGCAAATGTCTGGTGGAACAAACTTATGAAGGGATGTCACAGGGCCTTTGGTCAGTAGACATTTCAATGCCTGTGTGTAATGTGCAATGATCAGGCCAACATGAATGACATGTCCATCATCACTTCAGATGTGTCATGTCTTTTTGTTTGGTATAGCTAAATCTTCTCTACTAACTATTTTGAAATAGTCAACTAATTATTGTCAAATAGAGGTCAGAGAGATGGCTCAATTGGTAAAGTGTTACAATAAATCTTTCTGCCAAAACCACCTGAGCCCCACTGCCACTTGTGAGCTTTATGCCAGCCGCTAGCCTGAGTTAGGGCCCAAATGAATACACAGAAACTTGTATTAGGTACAATGCTGCTTGGCCAATGACTAGGATTCTCATCTGTTAGCTCAGTCTTAACTATAATAAACCTATATATTTTATAAGACTTATCTTATCGGATGCCTTATTAGCGTCCCTCCTTGCCAATAAGGATCACATCCTGCCGCTGGAGGAGGAAGGGGAAAAAGGAACCCTTCCTGTTTCTCCTTCGCTTAAATGTGAGTCTCCTTGCTATGTCACTTCCTGCCTGGATCACCACTTCTCTACTATATATCCCAGAATCCTCTTTGGCTCCTAGTCCCATCTAACTTGCTGTCTCATTGGCCAAACAATATTTTATTTAACAATCAATAAGATAAACATACACAGTACATTCCCCATCAGTAAAGTTCTTACCTGGCAATACTGAGGGCTAGGGTACATTTCCCCTAAACATCTGGACATGATGGTGACCACTTGTAATCCCAGCATTAGGATGGCAGAGACAGTGTCTGCCTGGGTACCCGGGGTTCACTAGCCTGCCAGTCAGACTAATTGCTAATTAGGTTCAATGAGAGACCCTGTCTCAAAACAAATAACAAACAACAACAACAAAATAAGGGAGATGGAAGATAAGAAAAGATGCTCAAGATTGACGTCTATGTTCCACATGAACATATAAGTGTGTGCACTTTTATAGACATGTGCACCCTCATACACATGCACACACACAGAGAAGTATGTACATCATGTGCACACACAACATTTGTCAACCAGAGTTATCCCACAATGCTGTAGAACAGTAGAATTTACTCTTGTACCCATTTGCCATCTTCCCTACATCCCTCCCTCCACCTACCAGGATCCTGGAGCTGTGTAGTTAACGTCAGCATCCACATATAAAGCAAGTCGCGCACTGTTTGTTTCTCTGTGCATGAGTTCTCATTTAACATGATGTCTTCCAAGTCCATCCGTGTTGCTGCAAATAATAGAATTGCAGTTTTTCCAGCTGAACAATATTCCATTTCATCCATCAATGGACATTAGATTGATTGTGTATCTTTTCTATTGTGGACAGTGTTGCAAACAGCCTGTGAAAACAGTTATCCAAAACATGTTTACTTCCATTCCTCTGGGTGTGCACTGTGGAGTATGATTCCTGGGTCACATGGCAGTTCTGGTTTCTTTAAAGGGGCCTCCATGCTGGTGTGGGTGAGGGAAAGATGCCCCCTCACCCCTCACCACATTTGGCAGGTGGGAGGGCTGACCTTGCCAGCATGAGTGGGGAAGCTGGTCTTGCACCTTGCTATCAGCTCTGCTCTTTGCTGCCTGTGGCATTGGGTGAGCTTACCTGGCGGCGCTAGAAAGCTCGCTATCATGGTGAAGATTCAGGAGAACTGTTAGACACATCTGAAGTCCTGGCACGATCTCTCCTAAAAAATAGGAATCCATTTTTGCACAGTTTTGCAGACAATAGGGGTGTGGTATTCAGAGAGAGCAGGGGATGGTTTCTCCCCAGACTACAAACCCTTCCTTAAAATTAAACATCGATCCCTTCCTCATAGAAAACAGCACTGGGCAGGGTGGTGGTTGTCAAGTAATTTTATATGATCAAACGGTTGTTTTAAAATGGTGTTTCACACTTCAGTCTCTCCCCAACATTTTGTAGATACTGGAGTAGATAGCAGCAGATATAGGTACACTTATTTTAAGAGTCTCCAACTGGGGGTTGGAGAGGAACAGCGGCTGATGAATAGCCCTGCTGACAACCTCCAATTTCACAGGAACCAAAAATGGAATTTGCCCCCAAGACCCTTATTAAATCCAGAATGATGGGAGGGCAAGGAGGCAACTTGCCCTCCCAGGTCTTCCCCCACAATTCCCTGTGGATGCTGGAGAATTTTGCAAAGAGCTGGAAGAAGCCTGGCATACTCGCACATACTAGGAATGCCAGCACCCAGAGGCAGAGGTATAAGAAAATCATGAATTTTATGCTAGCCTGGGCTACACAACAAGTTTGATGCTAACTTAGGTTATACATAGCAAGATCTTGTTATAAAAACATCCAAAAAAGATTAATGAATAAATATAGCCAGAAGACGGGTAGTTCAATGACTGCCTGCAAGCAGATTAAAACAAAAAAAGAATTTAAAATGCAAGTAAAGTCTAAGATAGGCTGAGGGAATTGACATAGTATGAGCTTGGTCAAAGAAGGGAGGGCTGGTACTAGATTCTATTGGGGGTTTTGATGGTCTATTTGAGCTCAGCTCAAATAGAATGGAAGTTTTCTAAGAGAGAGAACTCATTTTAGTAAATATTATATCCCCGGTACCTAATGTGTAGTAGGAACCCATGTATTGAATGGGCCTGGCATATTTTAGATGCTATAAAACACACACACACACACACACACACACACACACACACACACACACACACACACACACACACGAACACACGTTATACCCATGCACACCCATCACAAACACAAATACATAAATATGTGAAATTGAGAGAGAGAGGGGGGATTTTATATAGCCTATATCAGTGAGACTCAATATTAAAAGGTAGTTTCCAGAGTATGTTAAAGACAACTTGGAGAGTTGTTGGAAGATAGAGGAAGATCCCAGAATGACAAAACTACTGGCTAATATTGGGGCTCAGAAGAGAACACCCCAAATGCCTAAAATGGAACTTTCAACTAAAAAAGAGTATCATTCTCTCTCTTACTGCCCACTATCACCTCTACCCTGCCAATCTCTTAATCCTTCCCACAGTCAGGCAGGGGCCTCCCCATGCTCCTTCCCACAAGGAATGAAATTGTTACTAAATCTTACTCACCAGTAAAGACTGACCGATAGAGAGAAAAGAGGCTAAACGGTTCTATGCTTGAGGTCACCCATGGGTGTCTTGCCTGGACAAACTTCACCTACTCATTCCCAGCCAGCTCCTGAGAGATTGTCTCTGTCATAAGTCAGAAGTACATCTTTCTCCCCTCTTTCTCTCATATCTCGTCCTCTCCACCCCCAACCCTAAACTCCTTCCTGTTCAAGCCTCCATTCCTGACTGTATGTAGCTTGGGGGTTAGTTAAGCCTCAGTTCCCCAGCTCTCTGTAGAGTCTCATGTCTTTTGTTGGAGTCCCATGCCATGCCGATCCCATGCAATTAGATTCCCATCCTATTGAATATACTGTCAGTTAATCCCAGAGGAGCTTCAAATACACTTCGACGGTCCCTGCAATAGCAAAGAGGATGCTACTGATGATCTAGAGAGAAGGTACACAGAGTAAATTTGCCCACGCCAGTGCACAGTGAGCAAGGCCTGCCCAGTTGTCTGTATCTGCTTTACACACACAACACCTGTTGGCCGAGGTGCTTTTGTCCTGAAGGCCTGCCACTTAACTCCTCAGGAGAAACAATGACTGATCACATTGCAACACTATATCCGTACGCTATCCAACGAAACTAGGTGTGTCTGCCCACGGCTTTACAGGCTCCTTTTTTGTACCTGAGATGAACTGCCCAATTTAAGCCATCTCTATCCATCTCAGTGAATTTGCTAGTCTGTGTTCAAGAAACTGTAGAGGAAAAGCAATAACAACTTCAAAGAAGACTTACCATTCTTGTCATTTGACCTTTTAAACACACACACACACACACACACACACACACACACACACACACACACACGCACACATGAATGCAGAAACTTGTGGATTCCAGAAGAGGGGTGGACCCATCTTCTGGGGCTAGAATTACAGGTGGTTGTGAGCCACTTGGCATGCATATGGGGAGAACAGTATGTGTACCTAACGGATGAGCCATCTCTCTAGCACAACCTTTGATATTGTTCATCATAACATCTATCTTTACCATAGTCTATCTGTAAGTACAACGATTGAAAGTAAAAGCAGGATCCTTCGTGGAGCAGCATGAAAACAGGGAAGTCCATAGAGGGCTAGTTCTCTATCACAAGAATTGCCACCCATTTTAAACTCACAGATTTCCCTCTCCCTTGCCTTCCTTCCTTCCTCTGTCTTCTTCCTGGTCCTGGGGATGGAACCCACATCCTGATGAGTACCAGGCTAGTGCTCAACCATGAAGCTACACCTGAACCCAAGAAATTATATTCCTCTCCACTAACAATTCTTTGCTTCATGGAGCTCTGGGTTTAAAATACTGTGGAAAAACAAACGATGACTGATCAGAGTCTCTGTTCACTTTTATCATCTTTGCCTACTCCAATTGTTCTGAAGCAAATTACACACTGTATCAAACAAAGAAAAAAAAACTGGCAAATAGGGAGTGACTCAGACAGCACTTGGAAGTATCTGTTTGTTCTTTCTTGGAACTGCGCACTCAATCACCACAGTCATCCTCGCACCACTAGATGGAAGGCTTGGCCTCGCTCCGACTCTCTCAATATTTACATACTGTCAGCAGCAGCTTTCATGCTTCACCAAATGAGCACCTGAACTCGGAAAGGGAAATAATCTATTCTGCTCTGACAGGACCAGCTTGGGTGAAATTGTCTTGTCAAGCCATGGAGGTTCCACATGGACAATGTTGATGGTGTCAGCCAAAGATGGCAAGCCATTTTAGTGGATAATTTTGTGGCACAGTTGTGGAAATTTGATCTCAGCTCTGCTGACAAATACTCCGAGACCTGTCTGCACCCAGTTTTCTCACTGGTCACAAAGGGACAGTATTATCACCTGCCACATAAGAGGTGAGAATGGATGGAGTTCCATCTGCTTAAAAGGATTAAAGGATAATTAAGCATCCAATACATGTTAACTTGTTTTATGCAGTTTCTCTCTAAGTGAGCTATAGAGAACTAAAACAGTTGGCATCAGCTAAAGGTAGTTGTCAAAGACAGTGTTTACAAATTTGGAAGCTATGCTTCACTGACCCAGATGAGCAAAGAGATAATCTAGCCCCACTTGGTCCCCACTAGCCATTCCTGGATGTCATTGTTTCTGGGTGACAAGAATTATTATCATTAGATAACACGATTTCCCTGCCTGCATCCAGCTAGTTTGTCCCTTTGAAAGTCTACTCAAATTTTCTTCAAAGATACAGAACAATTTGGTAAGCTAGATTTTTTAAAAACATTTTCATTGTTTAACTTTTCATTAAAACAAACAAACAAACAAACTTTTTGTTTTGTTCTGAGTCCAGGCTGACCTGGGACTTGCTGTGTAGCTGAGGATGGCCTTGAATTTTGATTCTCCTGCCTCCACCTTCCAACTGCTGGGTTTACAACTATATAAGGCCCTATGCCTGGTTTATATGGGGCTGGAGGGATTTCTGTACTCTTAACAAGCATTCTACCCTCTGAGCCACCTCTCCAGATCCCAAACTGCTTTTTGGTCAGTGATACTCCCACAGTGGTTCTCAACCATCCTAATGCAGTGACCCTTTAATACGGTCCCCCATGTTGTAGTGATCCCAAGCATAACATTCTTTTCATTGCTACTTTATAATCGTAATGCCTCTACTGTTTGCTAACGGGGTCCCGACCCACGGTTGAGATCCACTGTGTAACAGCAGCACGGAGCTTCCAACATAATGAATGCTGGACTGGTCAGGTGCCTCCTAAATGTGTTTGAGCCTTGGAGGAAAATAATTCAAGCACTTGAAGGAATGTACATGCACATAGCACAACAGCTAGGAGCTTCCGTTTGGTTCCCAGGCATGTTAAAGGGCAGGGAGACGGATGACAAAGCTACAAATGAAACCAAAGATGTGAGTTTGTATGTTCCCGAAGGTCACTTTTGTCGTTGTTTTGTTTTTCTTAGAAAAATATTTAGCTGGCACATTTAAGTGGTGAACATCTATGAACCCAGCACTTGGGAGACTGGGATAGGAGAGTGGACAGATGAAGGCCAGTCTGGGCTCCATAGTGAGCTCAAGACTAGCCTGGGTACCACACACACAGAGGAACTCTGTCTTAATAACACAAGCAAGCAATTTAAAAATCTTCATCTTTAAGTTTTAGAGTTCATCTTGCAAGTCAGTTTTTAAAAATTATGTTAGAGATGTTCAGGCACAATAATAACAAACAATAAAAAACTGTCAATTATCTGACAAAGTTTTCCTCATTAAGAATAAAATCCTGTCATTTGCATCAAGATGGATGGAACTGAAGGGTATTGTGTTAAGTGGAATAAACCAGACATAGGAAAAGAAGTACTGAGTGTTCCCTCTCATCTGTAGACATTAAAAAGACAGATGACTTGTGCTGCTGAAGTTTCTTGTCTCGCCTTGCCCACTTTAGCCCCAAATAAGCACACAAAGACTTACATTAATTATTAAACTATTGGCCGATGGCTGGAGCTTCTTATTGGCTAGCTCTGTCTTAATTATTAACCCATAAATACTAATTTATGTATTTCTGTATGGCCTATCTTACCAAAGAACTCCTGGCACA